CTGCAGCTGCTTTAAAAAAACAAAACTTACCTGTACCGTCCAGCAGTTGTGCTCCTTTCCTGCATGCCTTGCTCCGCGCTTTGAAAAAAACCTAAAAAAAACCTCTTCCTGCACATGTGGGAGCATACCAATTGTACAGGGGGGGGGACTAATTTATAGTAAAAATTGCTCGGTCGGAGCCCGGGCCCCCCCCCCCCAGCCACCTGGGGCCCCTTACATTAGTGATGGCCGTACCCCCCTGATGGCGGCCCTGAGTACAATTGAGGGACACGGGCCGTGTACAGAGGACCCGTCTAGTACAATGGGGGGGGGGCATGGACCGTGTACAGAGGACCCGTCATGTTTGGTGTCTATTTACCCGACGTGACCCCATCTTTTATATTTTACCAAAAATATGGGTGATAAATGGGTGTGGTTACTGGGGGTGTGGCCACTAAAGGGTGTGGCCACGGAGGGGTGTGGTCACTGAGGGGTGCTGTAAAGCTTTCTCGCACAGGGCGCCTAAAGGCCTAAGGCCGGCCCTGGTGACGAAGAAGAAGGCGGGCCCGGCGACGGAGGAGGTAAGGAGTGCGACCAGCCCGCCTGAGGGTGATCCTGTAGAACCCACCATAGAGAGTCTATGGTGGGCTCTGTAGGGTCACCCTCAGGTGGGATCTCGAGTGGGCTCTGCGAGGGGTATAACTAGAAATCACGGGGCCCCATACAAAATTTAGCTCTGGGGCCCTGTGATTTCTAGTTACGCCCCTGATTGTTACGGCTCTGGTTATAATAATATTATAGTCTAAGTCTCCAATAATAATCTGCAAAAAACCTCCAGATCACCATGAGACAACTTTCAGTTTCTCCATTGCGATGTGTTGGGGGAAGGGATGGGTTCACTTCCTTTTTTTGTCCTTTACAATGTGAGTCTGAGGTAACAAACGCAGCATTGCAACACACAAGCCGTCCTCTCCTATATTAAGGGCTCCTCGTTCTTCTGCTGGAGGTTAGTGGAGGAGCAGCGGAGTCTCCGGACCTATTGATCACACGCCGACTGAACGATGAGCCGCCTGAGGACTGATCACTATGTGCTGCTGGGAGGTGAGTGCAGATCCCGGGGTGCGGCATCGAGAAGGGGGGGGGGAATAGAATTGCATTGAGCCCGGTACATGATGAAGGGGGACTGTAACCCCGATCCAGGAGTGTGGAAATTAAACAAAAAAAAACTACTTGTCCAAGGACTAAAGCGGGGGCCGATCTACTTGTCCTGATACAAATTTGTATTTAACCCAAAGCGTATATTTAGCAGTGCTAAGAAGCGCTTCTCATTGGTCAGGTGACCTCGCTGACCAATGAGTGCTTGCAATTTGCGAGGGAAATTCAGAATACATGGCACAGGTACAGATAGTAGTCAGTGTACCCATTGCACTCCTTACCGCTAAATCCTTGATGAATGGGTTGGGTGCATCAGTAGTCGACGGATGGCCACCGTCCAGGCAAAGTATAGATCTATACATAAAGTATATATCTATACAGGTACAGATAGTACACCTGTACTGGCGGACAGAAAGGACCGTTCGCTGAAAGGTAAGTATGGGGGGGGAGAGGGGGCAAGATTTGTGCGGGTAATTCCATTTTCCCAAATTGCTTGTGAAAGTGAACTTACCCTTTGGGGCGGGTGCATAATCGGGCGATCATGTGCGGTTGTATAAATTTTACCGCACGGCCCCATTGATTTCAACGGGGTTACATCCGCGTGGCAATTGCTGAAAAAAGGTACATGTACCTTTTTTGGCGACATGCACTGCGCTGTGTTCATAAACGTGATCGCGCGCGATTGCACGGGCGGTACTGCGGCAGGTAACCGCACGATCTGCCTGGCGCGACTGTGGTGCCGTTAGAAAATAATGGCAGCGCCAGCACGGTCGGCGGTGGTGTGCGATTCCATGAACGCCCAACGATTGCCGCGCGTTCATGGATCCCCCAGGTGTGAACCTGGCCTTAATGCACATTGTGCGTGTTAGAGATCGCTGCTGCCCGGCTGCCACTGTGGCAGCAGACAAAATGGCTCTCTGTGTTTAAATGATTTGTGTTGTTCTTTAACCACAAGTGCATACAGCAGCAGCGGCCCCCTCCTTTCTGTTCTTTAAAGGAGAACTATGAGGGAGGGGGGGTGATTTCCACTCACCTCATAGTTCTAGCCGACCTGTGACAATGAGACTGTCACAGGTCGGCTCAGTAGATCGGGAGGTGAGCGAACACATACCGGGTTCCCTCACCTCTCGATCCTGTCACGCCTCTCTGCCGTGACAGGGGGAGGGGCTGGATTCCCCCCTCCCCGCTCTGATCCGCCAGCGCTGACAGTCGGGATCGGCTTCAGCTGCGGCGTCTCAGTATACCGCGAGCTGTAGCTCCCTATATACTGAGCCTAGGGTGACGGGAGGACGCTAGTTTGTGTCCTCCCGTTACCCTAAGGAGAACTATGGGGAGAAGCCCTGACCACATAGTTCTCCTTTAACCACAGGTGCAGACAGCAGCAGCGGCCCCTCCTTTCTGTTCTTTAATCACAAGTGCAAACCGCAGCAGCTTGTGACTGAGGCCCCGTTCCTTCCCTGTCACAAGTTTGTGACAACAGTCTGTAATGGATGTAAACCACATAAATGGTACAATTGCAAATGCTGCTTGCTGATTGGCTTAGAGCTGTATAAGGAATAAGACGTATAGGAAATGTGACACAATTGTTATTATATATATGTTGTGACGGCCCTTAAAGGGGGCCCAGCTAATGAAAGACGTTAGTCGGCTGGGTCTCTGCGCAGAATAAAAAAAGGATTTGTTTTCCTGAAGTCTGTGTCCGAAGTCCATTGCTGGTTTCCCAAAACTGTTTTCCCGCTACACCACAATATGGCACACAGTAGAATGGGGGCACCACTCAGCTCACACAATTTCCTATGCATGCGTTTATTCGCATGCCAATGGTGGGGGCAGCGGGGTTGTTTTTAATTTTTTACATTTTTTATTTATTTTAATTTATTCTTTTACTTTATCGCCTTTTTATTTCCATTTTTAATTATTTGTTATTTTTTTTATTTATTTTTGTTTTTAATTGTTAATTATTTTACTTTTTTTTATTTATTTCTGTTTTTAATTTTAATTTTTTTTAAACTTTATTTCACTTAGCTCCTGTGTGATAGCAATTGGAGGTGACAGGTTCTCTTTATTGAACCTGTCACCTCCAGTACAGGAGTTCTTGCGCAGCGCTGTGCTGGAACTCCTGCGACAGGAAGGCTGCTAGTGCAGCGTTCCTGTGTCAGTGCTCACACGGAGCAGATCGGAGAACGGACGATCTCTGCTCTGCTCCCCATCCTGATCTAATTTGCCATGGTCCCGGGTACCCCAGAAGAGCGGGGGACCCCGAAGACCATGGCAGGGAGGGATCCAGCGGGCAGGGATAAAGGCAGCCGGGAGCGATATTAGAGGCAGCGATCAGGATGCTTACAAGCGTTCTCGAGTAACTGTACAGCTGCTCAAGATCACTTTGCCAAATGGTTCCCACTCTACATTTAGCCCCGCTGCCTGCCCGAAGCCGGGGTAAATATAGAAAAAAAAAATACCCACGCGGAAATACATGTCCTGGGCGTCGGGTTGCCATCTTTTCTTCAAGTGAAACCCGAACACTCTAGAGACGTGCTGACATTTTTTGGGGAGAATGACTCGTGGCTTATTCATATGTAAATATCACAGGTGAGACTATTATCAGTGGGGGGCCAGTAGCCCCTATCTTCATTTTGGTTGCCCCTGTCTGCCTGACATCTTGTGTCCAGGATTCAGCTGCCATGAAACCCGAACACAGCATTCAAAAGCCGGACTGTCCCGGTGAATCCCAGACAGGTGGCAACCCTAGTCAGGCGATAGGAATTCCACCCCCCTGTGTAGAGGCTTTTAAAGCATTGTGTATGGACTTTTTGGGGTACTGAATTATGTCGCAGTTTCATCGACGCACACAATTTTTTAACCTGGGCATGTTGGGTATCGATATACTTGTTGTAACCTCGTTTTTTATATTTTATAACACAAAAAATAATGGGTATTATATTATGTTTGGGAGTTTGAAAATAAGTTGAGCTAAAATCGTACAACATATACATTTCCAACTGCCGCCATTTTATTTTATAGGACAGAGCTCAAAATTTCAAGTCCTGAGCTACTAGCCCGGCCTTAAAAGTTACTCGCCACCAGTTGCCCCACCTAACCCCTACCGTGCCCCGCCCTTAACTCCGCCAGGTCAGTGGTGTGACACAGAGAACAGAGATCAGTAACGACACAGAGTGGAGAGGCCAGCGGTGTGACGCACAGTACAGAAGTCAGCAGTACAGAGGCCAGTAATGTAGTGCAGAGTGCAGAGGTCAGCTGTGTAACACAGAAAAACAGGGACTTACACTGCACAGTTGATCTAATTCTGGTGCTCTCTTCCTCTCCTGGCGGGGGTGTTGGGGGGAGGGGGGGGTGCAGCGATGCTGCCTCCATGTACCAAGGTTAAGCCTCCAGCAGCCTCATTGAGCCTCCCTTCAGGCTCCCGAACTGTGTACAGAAGTGTTCAGCAGTATGACGCACAGAACAGAGGTAATTAGTGCAGAGGTCAGTAATGTAACTCACAGTACAGAGGTCAGCAGTATGACGCACAGTACAGAGGTCAGCAGTATGACGCACAGTACAGAGGTCAGTAATAACGCACAGTACAGAGGTCAGTAATGTAACGCACAGTACAGAGTTCAGCAGTACAGAAGTCAGCAGTGTGACACACAGTGCAGAGGTCAGCAATAACGCACAGTGCAGAGGTCAGCAATGTAACGCACAGTACAGAGGTCAGTAATGTAACGCACAGTACAGAGGTCAGCAATAACGCACAGTACAGAGGTCAGTAATGTAATGCACAGTGCAGAGGTCAGCGGTGTTAGGCAGAAACATCAGGGACTTACAATGCACATGCTCATGTGATTCAGGTGCCCTCTTCCCTTCAGGCCCTGCGGTGTCCTGCCAGCCAGCCAATTGGAGCTCTGCAGTCTTCCTACCAGCTAACGTTTAACCTTTTAGATTGTAAGCCCTCAGGGGCGGGGCCCTCCTTACCATCGTGTCTTGATTTGTATTGTGATTGTAATGTCTTCCTTATATTGTAAAGCGCTGCGCACACTGTTACATAGTATTTGAGGTTGAATAAAGACATATGTCCATCAAGTCCAACCTATTGTGTGTGTGTGTGTGTGTGTGTGTGTATAGGTCCCCGAGTCATCTCATTATTAGGAGTACCTGTAACCCTGTATGTTACCTGTACCCCTGTATATTACCTGTACCCCATACAGGGTCTCGGCTTTCAGAAAACACATCATGTTTGGGGGTTTGAAGTAATTTTCAGGCCTAAAATGTGAATTATAACATGGGGGGCAAAAAAAAAAGGCCTCGGCAGCGAAAGGGTCCTTAAGGGGTTAATACGTTTATTGTTTCATATGGGAGGGGCCTAAAAAGTCACTCCCACAGTGTGTGTTCTCCTTTTCTTACTTTCTGGTTTGCAGTTTGTCATCACAGATCACATTCCCGCCTCTTAAATAGACACCAAACATGTCATGCTCTAAAATTGCGCGCACCCGCAAAAAACTACCATTGCCAAAATTGGCCATAGGCGACGCTTTAAAAGCTTTTACCGCTCATCAGTTTAGTGTTATCAGTGATTGATGGCCCTAAAATTATTGCTCTCATTCCGACGTTCGCGGCCATATGTAATGGGCGAAATCGGCGTAATGGGCAAAATCGGCGTTTTCGCACGTATGCACACCCGACACCTGTTTGCATGCGTGTATGTATGGGGGGGACTTTAAAAAAAAAAACAATTATTTTTTATTTGTAACTTTACATTTTTGGGGGGGAAACGTAATTTTTTTTTTTTCCCCACTCAACTTTATTGCTATCACATACGTTAGCTAAGAAAACCCCCTTATGTGATAGCAAAATATGTGACAGGTCCTCTTTATGGAGACATTAGGGTGTCTCCAAGACCCCTAATGTCACCTAGGACCCCCCTGAAGAAGCTGATGAAGCACAGATCTGCTCCATCAGCTTCTCTCCAGCATCTGAAGCCGGAGAGTGACACAAGAATGCGGAAGTGATGTAATATACAACACTTTCGCATTCTGACAGCGGAGAGGGGACCGGAGGGAGCTCGTGTACCGACCTCCCTCCGATCCCCTGTGACAGAGGCTGTATGCTGGTCCCAGGACCAGCTTGACAGCGGGAGGGGGGAGCCGCAGAGGGGGCGCACATCACGGGACCTCATACAAGCGATCCGCCGGCTATAGATCGCTTGTATATTAACGGGCATCGCTGCCTCTTTTCAAATAACGGGCATTTCCCGCTTGCGCCCGGCGGCGCGCACGAGGTGGTGTGGCTGAGCGGACGTCTAAAGACGCCCGCTCAGATCTAGAGAGCTCCTGGCCGGCCGTTTTTTACGGCCGGCTGGGAAGTGGTTAAAGGATTTTATCAAAAGTCTGTACTTTTTAATAACTATTTGATTTAACCCTTCAGTGAATGGGTAGGGGTACAAGTGCCCCTTACTCATTCACAAGGGGGGGCATCTGGGTGCCCCCTTAATTAAAGGGGTACCCCGATGCAAATAGGTCCCCTTGCCTGCAGGGTTGTGAGGAAGAGGCCCTTGTCCCCATCGGCATGGGGACACCCTCCCAATGCCGAGGGCACGTAGCCTGGTAAGGCGCAGGGAGGGGGGTGCTCGATCGTCCATCCCCCCCCCCTTCCTGCCGGGCCAGTGCTCGGATCAAGGGTCTGGTAAGAATGTTAGGGGGGGCCTCATGTTTTGTTTTGTTTTTCCATTTTTTGGGGCTGGGGGTCCCTCACAACATTCCTACCAGACCTAAAGGGTCTGGTATCAATTTGGGGGGAACCTCACGCTTTTTGTTTGTCGCCTTCTGCAGACTGTAAAAAAAAAAAAAATTCTAATGTCACTGTGCTGCAACGAAGTTTCGTCCAATAAACGAAATTTCGTCCAGACTCCCGCTAGCAAATTTCAGAGTTGGAAATTCGGATTCGTTTACATTCGTTATTTCTGTAATTCGGAATTCGGATGCATCAGAATCTCAGAATTTCCAAAATTTCATCCGAATTTCGATTCGGAACAAAACAAATGGTACATGTCTACTTTGTATCTCTCTATCTCCCTCTGATCAATGTTTATACGCAATGTTACTTTCATATTTGTATCACTCCCGGGATCTCCCATCAGTGACCAGCAGCCCCCAGTTGGCCATCGCAGTGTCACTGATACAAATGACCATCCCGGAGCCTCATCTGTTCTCCTCATTTTTGGGGTTTCTTCATTTTCCATCTCTCAGCTCCGATCTTCTGTTTTCTTTTAAACCCATTTTGCTTCTTTTCTGCATATTAATCATAACAAAAATTGTGGTTGGGATTTGTTGTCGCTATGAAAGTTCTGTCCACATTTCTGATGTGTCTCCTCTCCCAGGTCTCCTGTGTCTCCTGATCACATCCGTGTCATCCGGACCGGTGTATGTACGGAGCGGAGCGGACATCACGGGATGTGATATGACGTGTCCTCAGGATGATGTTACTCTGGAGCTGTACAGACATTG